ATGGAGCCACAGGAACCATAAAATGGTTTGGGTAAGAAGGGATGTTAAAGCCCATCTCATTCCACCCCCTGCCATGGGCAGGGACACCTCCCACTATCCCAGGTTGCTCCAAGCCCCATCCAACCTGGCCTTGGGCACTTCCAGGGATGGGGAAGCCACAGCTTCTCTGGGCAACCTGTGCCAGGGCCTCCCCACCCTCACAGGGAAGAATTGCTTCCTAATATTAAACCTAAGACTTCTCTCCATCAGTTTGAAGCCACTCCCCCTTGTCCTGTCACTCCAGCCCCTTGGAAATACTGTCTCTCCATTTTTCTTGCTGTTCCCTTCAGGTCCTGGCAATCAGGTTCACTTGTCCAGGTTGAACAATCCCACCTCTCCCAGCCTTTGCTCCCAGCAGAGCTGCTCCATCCCTCTGATCCTCTTGGTGCCTCCTCTGGACTGGCTCCAGCATCTCCCTGTCCCTCCTGTGCTGTTCCCCAGGGCTGGAGCAGCTCTGCAGGGGGGTCTCACCTGAGGGGCAGAATCCCCTCCCTGCCCTGCTGCCCACAGCACAGCCCTGGTACCATCAGGTCACAGCCCAGCCCAGCCTGGCCAGAGGAAGCACCACTGGCATTTGGATGCCCCATGGGCTGCTTACACAGCTCCTCGTGGCACTGAAGGTCTGCAGTGGTAAAGCTCTGGATGAAAGAATGCTACTGGCTTTCTAGAAGGAATGTTGGGGGACTACTCATTCGTTCCCTTGTTTTGCAACAGCCAGTATTATTTAACACTAAAGACTGGCACTACTGTGCTTTCTTCCAATTATGTTTGTTTGCTTGTCTACAGCGAGCAAAACATTCAGAGTAAAGTAAGTCAAGTAAGTTTCAGCTGTGTTTGTGAATCACATTGATTTTTCTGGGTCTCCCGTGCTGGATAATGCTACAAACATTAGGAATCTGAGAAGAGAGGCAATAATTCCTACTGAAAAAGTGAACTGGTGGCATTTTCTTAAGAAAGACAAGGAGTTACAAAGTGTCCCTCTAATGTTCTATCTAAGCAAGGTAACAAAATCAATGGACATGAACTTCTCTTAACACAGATAAATTGAGTACAGACTGCAACCCAAACTACTGCTGTGCCATGGAAGAGACTTTCACCTTGAGGGACACAGTTCCCAGCCACAGGTCTTACATCTGGAACAAAAAAAAAAACAAACAAAAACCAAAGCTTGAAGTAGGATTCCAGAATTCCATTAGACCCGAAATGGCCCAGATCTTAGGGGCTGTAAAACACTTCTAGCCCTCAAAATAGTGTGGGGAAAGATAATAGAGGCTGGCCCTTCGTTGCCATCATGCAGAACACATTTCTGGAGCACACATGACATGTTCCATGCAGTGCAGACATTCAAACCCTGGGATGAGAGCAGAGTTTGCCTGAATGCTCAGGATGGCCTCCACTACTCTGAGCCAGGACAGTGTAACTCTAAATAGGGGCTTATTCAAACATTATAACATGGACAACTGGATAGAGAAAGGCTAGTAATGACATTCCAGTAGAGCAAAATGAATCACACCTGCAGTTATAGCTGGTAATTAGAAAAAAGATGGAGTCCATTATCCTTGAGAAATAAAGATGCACAGCATTTTGACAGTGGAGTCACATTACTGATTTGAGTCCCATTAAAACACAGCTCCCTGCACGTTTCCTGGGTGCACACTCAGCAAAAGCTGGTCCCATGAAAGACTGGATCAACTTCATGCAAATAAGGAAAAACTGGAAGGTGTGCACAGGAGTATCAACCCTCATCTTAACTCCCCTTCTAGCATCACTCTTCCTGCCTATCATCATTAGCTAATTAATCTTAAAGTGTGCGCTTCTATTTCTTCTGGGAAATAAGGAAATGTGGGAAGAGGAAGAAGCTCAGACCTGTGCCAGCTATGGGTGTGCACTCAGTCACAACCTGCCTGCCAGCAGCTCCTCCTCAGAAGTTCCTCAGCCTCCACTCCGTTGGAAAGAAAATCATCTTCCCATTTCAAACTTCTACCTCTCCCTCTTGATTTCCCATCACAGTACTGGGACCTTCCTGCTGTGTTCACAGGGAACCCATAAGTTTCAACTTAACCCCTTTGTTCTAGATATCATCTCTAATTCCTTTTCTTGTGCTCTTCGAGTGTTTTGATCTCTGTACACTCTGTAAACCAGGTGGAGGGGAATTTTCCTCCTTGAAATATGAAGGTTGCTTATGCCAACACCCTTGAGTTTGGCAGAATCTGGCCCTTAAAACACAAATCCCTGTGTCTACTTCTTCTTCTAAGCCACTTCCACTAAAAAAAATTCGGGATGCTCTTAGGCAGCAGAGAGTTCTCTCAGAACGAGATTGGATAGGCTTGTAAAGCAGCCAAATCATTTTTATTTCAGGCTGTCATTGCACATCCAGCATAGCAAACCAAATTCCCACAGAAGTCCAGTATCCATTAATGCCAAGTTTAAGCCTTCCTAAGCTAAAAAGTGTAATGACTCGGGAGGAATTGCACCTACCTAATGGATCCTCAACCTGGAAAGGCAAAATTCCTTCAGTGGACAATAACAGCCCACAGGAGCACTGAGTTCAGGTGGGTCAAGAAACTGCATTTCAACGAACCTCAGGTCACATACCTGTCTAGTTTGGTGAGAACTGAGCACTTGGAAAACTTCAGGTGTTTACACAGTAGGTTGGAACAGCCCAGGACCTTTTTCAAAAAACAGTGAATTGTTGTGTAAATATGTAGCAATTTTCACCTAGTTGTTATTCAGACTTTGTTCTGGATTAATAGTCTAAAGCTACCTTTTTAAAGAAATAACTGCAAGAGACACCAAAACCTGAAGGATTAGCCACAGCCTTAAGAGAAAAACCATCAGCAAAACAGTGGCTGATGCTAACTCCAGTCGAAACTATCAGAAATTGTAATTATGGCCAGAGCTTTTGCTCGCCCCTGTGCCCAGCTAACACTGGTAGAACTAATAGGGGCCATACAGGAGAAAGATCCCCGGGAAATACATTAGTGGGATTTCAGTCCAGCTTTCTGGGCATTGGATCATCTCACAAATCCATCATTTGACAGCACTCAGTTTAATAGGTGGCAATTTCAAAGAGCAACCAGGGACTGAGCTGCAAAAAACCCCCAGAAACTCAAGAAAATCATAGACTGGCTTGGGTTGGAAGGAACCTTAAAGATCATCTCACTCATAACTATATGTTATTTTTCTATAACATAGGGGAGCAAATTCATACCAGTGGATGAATGGCCCACCTCAGGCAGCCCAAGCCAGGAAAATCCCAGCTTGCTTGCTCTGTATTTGTAACAGAGCTGGCAAAGACACTCAAAGACGAGTTCCAGGGAAAGTTTCTTCTGCCACTGTGAATGGCAAAACATGAGCTACTACTGCCTTCACTGTTTGCATTCCCTCATGGTCTGGGAGTCCTGGAACAGAATCTCATTAAGCCAAACCCTAAATACACACAGGACAAAGATCCAAGGAGCTTAAAGTTCAGCACCTTTAGGAGACTGACTTTAATTAAGAAAATGCAAGAGGAAAAAAAATAAAATAACTAACTATAGTCAAAACTTTTTAACCAAGAGGCCTGAATTGCAGAGCTTAAATCCAGATTTAGCCTCATAAATAAAAATGATCTATCTAAAGGTGCCAGAAATAGGAGTTCATGCTGAAGGCTTCATAAGCTCTCAGACTTAAAAACTCACAAATGCAAACAAAATCAGACTCACGGTCCAGGATCCAGACTGAGCTCAGACTCTATTCTTAAAACAGGTCTCTGACCTGTCCTCCACCTACCTCAGGCATAAATTAGAGCTCATTGCTGGCCTAGATTTCAACCCAAGTTCCACCAGTTTTATGAATTGACACCCAAGTCTCACCATCAGTGCCCAGGAGCTGCTGGTGACTCCCCTCTGTACTCACCCGTGCCAGGCTCTGTGTGTGTCTGTTTGCACATACACATGGGGGGGGAGAAGGGATGAATCTCCACTGCCAAAAAAAATCATCTGAATGCTGCACTCCCACACTGGGTTTGGCATACAAAAATCACAGGCTTTTCACAATCTTCAGTTATATTATTCATGCAGAATGCACTCAGCTTTCTATTGTTCCTGCTCTCGTTGTTTATAAATGAGTCTTTGCTTCATCTGGGGATGAAAGTTCCTTTAAGTTTCCTCTAGTAAAAGTACTTCTGTAATGAAGTGCAGTGCTAGCACCCAGAGGGTTAAAGAAGTTTCTGGAAATGTTTGTGCTTCTGGGAAAAAAAACAACCAGTATTTGCTTTCTTTATTGAAGGCAAAATGAACAGCTGGAGCTCACTGATATGTTTTGGCCAATCTGATACACAGGTTCCTAATTCCTTCCTAACTGTTTCAGAAAAGAATGAAGTTCTTCATTTTGTTCTCTGTTACCTCAACATTTGTGAAGGGAATTTCTGAACATGTTAAGACTCTTGCTTTTACACCTCACTTAAATATTCCCACCACTAGCACATTAAAAAAAAAAATTACCCTGAGACTTGGTCTTCAAACACTGTGCCTGGTGTAAATACTATTTCTCAAGACAGGACATGAATTGTTCCAGTAACTGCTGGTCCCTTTTGTTATGGCCAATACAGAAAAGCATATAGCCCTTTGTGCAGCAATATTGCAGATTCCAGGATGCAGCCTGTTCGACAGGCCGGGCTGTCATCATTAATCCTGGGCACTGGGCAAGATCCTGCTGCACTCCCCCAGCTCAGAGTTTTTTCAATCCAATTTAAGTTAATAAACAGTGAACTGAATGACAAAAGAAGGCAGTAAGTTAATCACACAGCACCTGGATGGCTTTTGGCTCCAGAGGACATCCTGCTGTTTCAGGTCCAGTATCCCCGTGTTGTAAAGGCTGCATCCTTTACCCCTCTGTGCTACACTGACTGATTTTAAAGTTCAAAGGACTCCTCTACGCTGCCTCTAAGGCTGAGGTACTGCACATCCAAAGGGGACAACGGGCAGGCTGTCACCTGACATACTGAAACCAGAAAACTGGAGTCAAATTCATCCAGTCAGCTGTATTTTGGAGTGAAAGGAAATTTCTTTTTTGAACTAAGGACTCAAGAAATGTAATAGTTTGGCAGTTAATGGAAATGCATTACATTTCACTAATGTTAAGCAAAGAAACAATTCAATCTCTTTCAAAAACCACCTCCTGTCTACTTGCAAATATCAGTGGACTTTATTAAACGAATGGGGTTTGTCTTTTTAATATCAACCCCTAATATATCAGCTCTTAACAGAAGTTTAATGAAGCCATCCCCAAGAGCAGTGTCTCTAAGCCAACAATCTCCATCCTCTCTGGGTTTTCCTGGCACTCTGGACTGCCTTCATCCTCCCTCTCCCCTTCTCACCTGCTTCTCTCCCCCTGGTCAGGTTCTGTGCAAACGCTGGGTAACTCCAGTGAACTCCAGGGAAATATATTTCTGGATTTACACCTGCCTAGCCAGCAGAAAATGTAAATTGAACTGAATAGTATTTAATTAAAGGCATTTCCCCCCTTTAATTTATGAGAAAAAAATAACAAAGTCTAGATTGTATTGCTCATATGCATCTTCAAAGGCATCACATTCCTCCACAGACCCTGTTGAGAAAAGCTGCTCACATACTTTTTCACTCAAAACACACAAGCAGAACTTGGTCTGCAATTAATAATGGAGAGAACAAAAAGTATTTCTTTCAACAAAGATAAACCCTGTAGGTCATCTGAAGGAGGGAGTGTAGTGCAGTATTTCAACTGGCTTTAAAACAACAGTTATTTTTTTACATATTTGCAGTTTAAGCGCCAGGTTTTGTCTAAGAAGACAGAAAAAAAGATGGCAAATGCTTCTGTCACTGCTGCATCCCAATTAGTTTTGGAGTGGTGAAAGATGACATATTAAAACAACCCCATGTAACGTGGAGAGTAAATAACTTCCAAATCTGGGAACTCAGTGTGTGCAACGAGTGCCAGACATCCAGGGAAAAAAGTGCACTGGGAAAAAAAAAAACAAACCTCGGGTTGTTTTCCATTTAAATCCATGCCTATTCAAAACAGTCATATCTGAATTTCTAAGAGCAAGCAAAATCACTATGCATTTACCATACTAAATGCCTTTTTCATCAACCAACAAAACAGAGCAGATACAAATGAACCAATCAGGGGTTTCGAGTGAGCTATCAGTGTTAGAAAAGCTACTCTGCACATTCCAGTTGAGTCACCACAGAGAAATAGGAGAGGGAAAAAAAAAAAAAAGAGGAAGGAAAAAAAAGGGGGGGGGAAATAAATTACTGTGTGCAACTCCATCTGCAAACTGCTTCTCCCGCACTGGTATGTAATAAAATGTGTTGCTAAGATACAAGCTGCTAAAGAAGTTCATTAAAGGACACTTTAAACAAAGCTGCCAGACTCTTTTCCCTTTAAAGACTGCTTATTTGGTTCTGTCCCTTGTGTTTATAATTAGATCCTCTATATGAGAGATTGTGCTCCATTCAAGCCCACTCAGCAAAGAATGTTAATAAAATAACGTAAATAAGGCACTGGCTTAGGTTGTGTATATTTATGGGCTACGGAGCTGTTGACACAAATACATCTGGATTACAACTTGTATTTTTAAATGCAAAATAAATGCTTTTCCACGGAGTTTCTCCCCAAGCTGGAGAGCAGAAACGTCGGCTTCTGCATCCAGCACTCTGACCTAACTTTTAGAAAATACTTTCAGGCACAGAAAACCGGCTTCTTGCCTAAAGTTTGGAGTTTCTGAGGTGCCTCTCATTTAGGCTTCTATACGTGAGCCTTTGTTATCTACACTGAAATAAAGGACAACATTGTTTACGTCTTTCTCCTGGCAATCCTTCTCTTTTTCCATCTGTATACAAGTTCCTCGACGTGTGTTAACGATTTGCAGAATTTCCTTGATCTTAGTTATATTCACAAGTACGTCTATTTTGTCACATTTTACTGCCAGGGAAGATATGTTATCAAATAGGTCTTTCTCTGACCTCATGTAAAATACTTTTAGCCTCCGTAGGAACACTTGCATGGTAGGTGTATTTTAGCTTTTGTTTTGGCTGAAGGGAAAAGAATGGGCAAGGCTTACTTTGCTTTACTCACCGTGAGGAAATGATATCTAAAGAAATAATTCCAGCATTTATCTCTTTGGGGCTTAATAACAAACAAGCTGCATAAATCACAGATGAGAGTTAGTATCAGCGATTATATAGGAAATGTTACTTGTCACTTTGTAACCTGCATCTCATAACAAATTCTGTATCACAGTCCCAGTATGTATATATTTTTAATTACATTTTCAGGCTCATTTACATGCGCATATTGGCTTTCTGCCTGAATGATATCAAAGAGAAAGACCTTATGCTCACACCCAACCACACACACACACACACACACACACACACAAGCACATTTATACACAGAGACACTCCAGTCTGAACATTTCTGAGAATGGAAGCTTCTCTTGTCTCTCTCGTTCTCCGAGCAGCTTTGATTCACCAATAAATCTTTAGGCAATCTCAGCTGATCCAAAGCGCTTTAGGAAAACACAGCCTTACAGAAAACGCAGGTTAATCTCTGCTGCACGTCAAAAGTACCAATGATTCTCACTTGACTCACTTAATCAAAATGTAATATACAATTTCACTGTCTGTAACCCTGCAAGATCGGCCGTCGACAGCCGAGTTTGCGCAGAGAGGCAGTTCCACTGCTCCTCCCTGGATCGGGGTGAGCTCCATGACAGCACCAACAGGATCAACTCAAATCAACGTGGAAACGAGAATAACTTATACACTACACAGATTTAGCTTCTGTTTCAACACCAATTGTGTGCTCCTCTCCATTAAACACCAGCAATCAGGCCAACCTTCCCTCCCGTGAACACACAGTTCTGGCCACAGCCTTAACACCCACCCAGGCTCTTAAAACTGAATTACAACTCTGAAAATGAGATTGCCTCTCAAAAGCCTAAATTAACACCACCCATCACATCTACCGAGCTCTCAAGCACTTATTGTTCTGATTTTACTGCAGCCACACTTAGAGTCAGTTCTCTGGTTTACTTTCCTTCCCTCCAAGGGCTGGTCTGTAGTTTAAACTACATATATTTAACTTCTCCACGGGTTAAAAAAAGAAAATTCATCCTCAGTTTCCCACTGTCTCTGTCTATTAAGCAGAAGGTCTGGCTGTACATGTGCAAAAAGGCCTGTGGTACATATTAGATTTCAGCAGAGGCTCTCTATTGGCAGTTGCAGGTTGGAGGAGAACTAAAGCCGCATCAGCAATTTCCTATGACACTCTGGAAATTGCTACTACATAACAATAAGCAGCTGATTCAAAAAAGAGAGGGGTGGGGGGAGAAAGCGGGTTTAAGGAGGTACATTTTGGCTCAAGGAGAACAATTCCCAATTAAAAAAGTAGCACCACCTTAAGTTAAAAAAAAAGTAATATATACATATATATATATATAAAAGTACACGTATATCCACACATAAGGGAAGTGTGTGATGAGGATTGGACAGACCAGATATGAGTCTGTTATGTTGCAATAACTGTCTGCTTTAATGGCAGAATGACAAATTTGCATTTCAATTAGTCCAATTCTTTTTTTTTTTTTCTGTTCTTCTTTGTTCTTATCTTAAACTTGCAGCCCATTTCCACAGTTCCCTTACCTCCAGCTCCTCTGTGTGTCCCAGCTGCCCTCCTGGACACCCTGGCCACACAGACACCGTTTACCAGGGCCTGGTCTCACTGATTTGCAAACTTCTCCCCTTTAACTCCCTCGACTGGAAATTGTGTTGGTGCTTCAGATTTTGTTTGGGGAGCGGAGGGGAGAGGGAGGTATCACTTTATAATCAAGTACAGAAATACTGCATATTTAATCTTCGATCACACAGAGAAAGGCAAAGAGGGAAAAGTTAAAAGTAACTCTGTCTGAACGTGTCTTTGTACGCCTTCACGCTTTCAACTCGAAAATCAAATCTGGAATGAGATGAAAAGGGATTTTCTCTACTTGAACATACCAGAATTGTTGAGACTGATGCAGTATCCCACTGGAAATGTGGTTTAAAACCACCATTCAGAGCCCCTTCTTTAGCATCATGCCATGGAAAGGACACATTCCTGTTTTCTTCCACAAATACAGTGGGCCTGTGGACCAGCTCCTGAAGCAAAGTGAACTGGTTTGCACATCTGCCAAGACACACTGCTCTGGATGAGCTGCACACATGGCATCCACCAGTGGAGAGTGTGTCCCCTCAGTCCAGAGCTCCTGACAAAGCCTCCTGCAGAAACACCACTTCCAAGTGTCCAAGCATCTACCAAAAAAATAAACCAAATTCTGACACCAAGACGTGCAGTTCCTACACAGAACTGAAGGTGCCTTGAAAGGATCTCCCCACCAAAGTATCTGAGCAAATACCTGTTTGCTGCAAGTGCAAATTAGGTATTTTACAACGTGTAACAGGTAGCAAGTGTCTTTAGTGTGAAAGCAGAAGTGAAATAAAAAGGTATTGTTGGCATAATTCCTTTTTCTGAATAGACAAAGGCGTTGTAAGGAAAAAATTGCTAAATCACAGGGATAATCATCATAGCCAGCTCCTCTAATGAGGCATCATGGGATTACTGGAGTTATTATAAGAGTCATCTTATTGAAGAAATTCAAAGTTAATTGAAATCAATTGTACTGTTCTGACAGCAGGTGTTTTAAGTGGCTAAAATATCAAAGTGAACCCTTTAAAATGGTTAGAATGAACGTAACATTCACTTTTCAACTTAGCCCTGCCAAGTGATTCACTGCACAAGTACAGAAAAGTGTACAGTCAAAGAAAAATGCTGGAATGAAATCCCATTTCCCGTGCCAGTCCAGCAGCTCCCAAACAAAAGGGGGTTCTAACTCACTCCAGTACACATTTTCACTATGGATGTGCAATTTCCATGAATCTTATAAGGGCAACCCAACGGAAGGCAGAAAGCCACACTTCCATTGTGTTCCACCTCCATGAAAATGTCCTTTATTACCCTTTCTCCTCAGTGGGAACAGGGATCTCAGTAGGGTGTTACTGAAAGCACAAACAGAAGGCTGGGATTGCCATGACTCAAACTATATTCCTGATATTCCTGAGTTTCTCCTCTAAGGAGCCAAAGGTAAATTCCTCCCTAGTTTTGTCACTTTTTCTACAGATGGCAAAGCAACCAATAAACTGGCAGCTGATTTTGCAATTAAAAAAAAGAAGGAAAAAAGAAAGAAGAAAAAAAAGGAACTGGAGCTTTCTGAGTCACAATCCAGAACTAATCTTTACTCTGACCCAGTGAGTTCATTTCATTCCACAGTTGTTCAGAATTCCCAGACAAGTCAGTGGGACCTCAGTGTGCAAAGTCAAGCTTATATTTAATACCTGTTGTCTTTGTGTTTAAAGACTCAATGCAGTGACTGAAAAGTTTAATACTCCACCTGGGAGCCCATCTCCCTGTCTCCCTGGACTTCCAGAGCCACCCCTGGGTGGAATTCTTGCCAGAGCACTGGGAAGCACTGTGCACACCTTGGTCAGGGTTTGACCTCGGGTTCAACTGCAGCTGGAAATGCCTTTCAGATTTGGCCCCGGTTTTCACTGAGGCTTTGCAACCCTTCTTTTACCTTTCCCGTTTGGAAGGTTCCCAGCCATATGAGATCCTGAGCTTTGGCAAATGTCAACAATTTACCCTTTAACACGGGTAAACAATGCTGCCATTTCCAGGCACAGCACAGCAGGAATTTCAACAACCCAAAGCCCCCACGCCCTCCTCCTCCCCAAAACAAAGAGCTCGCGTCGGTGTGACCAGGCATCTCCAGCTAAACCTTTTCCAACAACTCGCACAAGAACTGTACTTCAATTTTGAGAAGTCTAACGCTTTCCACAAGCAGGCTTTGCTGGTGATCACCACAGGCAAAATACAGTCAGCGATTTAATTTCAGATATACCACCCCCCCCAAAACAACAAAAAAAAAATCAAACCAGCAATAACACAGGCTGGGAGAATCTGCCTGAAACTAATGTTGATTTTCTGCACAGATAGTAAATTATGGTAAAGAAATGAGGCAGTGCACAAGTGAATGGCATATACATAATGTCTTTCAGGAAGACATATTTTTATTACCACGCTCCAGGACAGGCTGGCTGAATTCAGAGTTCATCACGGGCGAAAATAGAGTGGCCCACACGTGCTCATCGCTTATTTTTAAGACCTGGCTTGCCACCTAACACTTATGTCAGTAAAAAGGAACTTACAACTGGAGGTTAAAGGTTTGTTTATTTGTTTATCCTGATCTATTAATTAATAAGATGCAACTTTCTAAAATTAAAATACCCTTAATGACTCTTTAAGGACATAAAGAAAGCGAGATACACATGCAGCAGAGCACCTCTGGTGTGCTTTTAAGGCCAGAGCTGGCTCTGGCTCTTATGATAGCTCTTTTATTTACATATAAATGCTTGTTGCTTGACAATTTAGATAAAAATGTTACTGCTGCTCTGCATGTGCTGTAGATTGAAGGTGTAAAACCACTGGACCAACTAATGGAGTCTTCACACATCATATCTTGTTAAAGAAGAGGTAACCCACTCTCAAATGTGATTACAATTAATCAAAACTACAGCATCCAAAGGATATACCTCTGACAGAAGTCTAACTTTTGCCTTTCTGAGTTGGATGCCAGATTTAGTACTGACTGAAGCTGTGCCCTTCCAATAATGAAAATGATGGCTCTACAGTACTTAGTTGAAAACACTGAGAAAATACTACAACTATGCTTAATTGCATATGTCTCTAAGCCACCAACACAAAAGAAACATCCATGACTAGCCAGGGATTCTTAAGTAGGTTGTCACTTTAAATCCAACTGTGCATAAATCTACTTCATACATTTACCTCAAAAGTTGGGTTTGTCATTCAGTTCTTTCTCGTGTTTATTTGTAACTTTCAAGAAAAGGAAATATTGCCACAAATGCCAATGGCTACAATGGAAAAGTGATGAATAGGGGCACTGAGAGATAACACTCACTCCTGCTATATTTCTAACAGATGTGGATGATGTGGATCCATTCATTTTACTATCTGTTTCATCATCCACATGTGCAGTTTAATTGAAATGCAATTTTAGGGTCTTCTGTATTCAGTGCATGCACAATCAAAGGTATACATTATTGAATTATGAATTAGTTGTGCCTAAACAAATCTTCGGGGGGGGCAGAGGGGGGAGGAATGTAAATACATATGTAAAAATAACCTCCCTCCTTACCCTGCCTGCTTAAGTTTACCCTGGTGTTTTCAGATGGCCAGGAAATCACCAGCAGCCCAGCTATTGTCTCAGGAGCCTCCAGTGCACCTTCCCCACACCCTCAAGGACCCAGAGTTCATTTGTGAGCCATTACCTAAGGAGCAACTGCTAATTATAGCAAGTCTGCAAAGTCACACCACGGGTTTGCGACTCGGTCACAGGCTGAGACCTCCAAACTCAACTCACTTGTGACCTGAGACAGATTCCAGTGTAGAGCTCTGGAGGTGGCAGCCTGGAGCACGAGGACACCACACCACCAGCCAGCCAGCCTCTTATTTATGAGCTCTTGTTGCACAGGGTGTTGAAATCAGTAAAAGAAATCTGGGGTTTTGCCTAAAAATAGCAGGTTTCCTGCTAGGCCAAATTTGCTGTTTACAGACTTTAAGTATTTTATGTTTAATTACTTCACAGTCTATAGATTTATTTAGAAGATTATGAGGAGGGCAAGTCATAAATACACAACATTGTTTACTAGTTAGTTTGGATTATACTATATATAATATGCTGCACAAGCTTAGCAAGAGCCTTTTTCCCTGAGCTGAATCAGAACATTCAAACTGTATTTTCAAATGTGTCTCTCTGCCTTATCTAAATTCCAACATGACACATAATAAATAGCTTCTCATTTACTATGATCATAAAAATTTAAACAGCCTTGAAATAGTTGCTACAATACAGGGGGAAATGATCAAATGTATGTTCTAAATACCCACTTAGAACAGTAAAACTATTTCCATACTGAAGAAAGAACACATAAAGATGCATTGTTGCAGTAAAGGCTGTTACCTTGTTTAAAAAAAAAAACCAACCTTCTACTCAGTATAGTAGTATTAGAGTCAACAACTTGCTGTTTTACACTGCAAAAAAGGGACTAACAGCCCTTAGCTATCATGTAGTGTCAGATTTGCTTTAAAAAAGAAAGTATCTGATTTGATTCTATACAGTGATTAAACATCTTTGTGCTCTGCTGAGTAGGGTATTCTCTCCCCTCCCCCCTCCAAAAATGGCATCAAAGCAATCAAAATGGTAATGTTGAGCATGAATGGGGCCCCATCCCCCACCGGCAAACTCCGCAGACTTTTCTCCATGTTAGGAGGAACCAACACCCCTTCCTCACAAAATGGAAGCTTCCACTACCAAACTGAGAGTGCTGACAAATTCTGATTACAATAAACTGGGAGGAAAAAGGGTGGCGTGCAGCCACCATCGCCCGCGGGCACGGCTCGCACGGGCACGGAGCACTTTTGCAACTTCCACCGCAACTCCGGCAAAACAAAACACAACACACACACCGAAAAAAAAATAAAAAAAAGGAAAAAAAATTAAAGGG